CAGCCATCCAACAGGCTGAGCTCAAATATCTATAAAAAAGGTGTTGATGGCAGCAACACAGCTGATATTTCATGTGTGCATATAATCTATTAAACCTTAATTTTTTTTTTATAAGAGTTGTCTGAATAGATATATATATTATGAAAGGCAGCCCAGATTAAAAACATAAAACATAACTGACATAAACAGACCTCTATTTTAACAAAAGCACACGCTCTGATATACTAGAACCACCTGTCTTTGATAAGTGAGGTCTATAATTTCTTATCACAGTTGTGATTTGATTGACATGTTGACAGAAAATCATACACCTTGTGAACAGGCTTGTAAACGGTAAACACTCTTGGTTACGTTGGACAGATGCTTGAAAAAGAGATGGGTGACAGAGTTCCAGGGATTTGAATGAAAGGATGCAATAAAATGCTCCAAGAGTTTCAGACAGATGTGAGATCATTACCATGGAAGTTATGAAGCCGAGAGAAAAAACAAGCCACATAGCTCCGTGTCATTTGGCTCATTCATGCTAAATCATTTGCTAGATGTTTTGCAAGACTGAAGAAACTGTAAAAATCGTTTTTCAGGGAAATTTGGATTTAGCGGGAGTGTGTTGAAACTGATTTGGAACTGCAGCCTGGTGTTGTTTCTAGTCACCCATCAGTTCTAGCTATCATTGTGAAAGCCCACAGTGGACCGACGCCAATGAACGGGAAAAAAAAAAGAAAGCATCCTGCTGTTGAACGCGAGGCACCGGGGAAGGAGCGGCTCCCACAACAGCAATGCTGAATCATCTCTTTAAAAAGACAAAAAAATCATCCATCTATCTCTGCAAGCCAGGGAGATGGCCTAACCAAATTAGCGTGACAACATTTGTGTGAGCTCCTTGGAAATGTGACAGAGAGAATATCTGCTTTCACTGCCTGTGTCGCTGCTAAAGACACGGAACAGATCAGTCCTACAGACAATACAACATGATGTGATTCCCTTTGTGCATAATCTGCTTTAGCTTTTTTCAAAGTGTTTCAAAGTGAATATTTGAGTTTGTTTTAGCACCTGCAGTCAATAGCTGGGAGGCAGAAAATAGATTTGTGAGCATACCTATTGGATTATGGTACAGGAGAGAGTTACATTACATCATGCCTATTGTTACAGACAGACACAGTGATGGTCTTGCATGTTCGTCTAACTGGAAGGTTTTTTGCAAGGGCCCCTATGTAAAGCCTGGGTTTCTGTAAAGTAAACTAAATTCCCCCAAAAAATTCATTCCAAAAAATGAAAACTGGTAATTTACTTTTGCATGACCCTTAATATATATATGTACAGTATATATATATATATATATATATATATATATATACATATATATAATTTATTTATAAATTTTTTTTTCAAATTAAGCTACATCCTTTAAATTAATTTACATGGTTGCTCTTCATGAAAGGCTAGATTAGTGGTTCCCAGCTCTGATCTTTTCAGAGCCCGCCCTGCAGGTTTTAAATCTCCGTGTTCCAGCACACCTGATTTAAATGATTGGATGACCTCCTCTGCAGTCATAAAGTACTGAAGCCTGTTAGTCACTTATTCATATAAGTCAGGTGTGTGGCAGCAAGGATAAAACATGCAGGACAGGCGTACTTGTGGACCAATAGGAACCACCCGGCTAGAGTAGAAAACAAAACAAATATTTTTTTTTTTTACAATTTTCTTTAAAATCTGTAAAGTGAAGGCCACCTTTGAATTCATCCCCCATGACTTTGATATACATTAATAAAATGTACTGCAACCAAACGCTTTTTAATAAGTGCACCTACTGTATGTGTAACTTTCTCTTAACAAAAACGACAGCAGGTTTATAAAAGCTGTAAAACACACAGGCCTATCCTTTAAAGCTAGGACAGGTTTTATAACATCAGATCTCACTGCCCAATTGATAATCAAAAAATTGAAGATGTATGAAACTTAAAAATCATGGCTCACATGGTTGAGAACCTGAATTTACAGGCCAGGTATGGTGAGCATAAAGGGGTGAAGCCAGAGGAGGCCAGGGTAGATCCACAGCAGAGGTAAACAAATGTTATGGTAACCTCTGGTTAGCACTAGCCGACATTTAACCTATCAGCCCGGAAAGAAAGTAGCAACCTCTGTATAACATCTGAGCCGCTTTGCTTCATTAGGTCACATTAACCTGCTTAATGATGCAGGATCCTTTCATGTCAACATTGCCATTGTAACCAGTTGTTATATTTATATTGTTTGGACCCGTCAAAATGTGTTAAATTATTATCTTTTAACCACTTTTTCAGTAAAATTTTGTCTTAATTTTGAAAAAAAATAATGAGATCAAAAAGTTATGACCTTTAAACATATTTAATTTCCTTTACCTTTAAACAGGATAAAAAAAGCCTTAACATGCCACCAGGATCAAAGGGGTTTTGCCAGAATGGCCTAGTCAAAGTTCACAACCAAGTTGATCCAAAATCTGCGGTGATAAATGTAAACAGATACTCCTTATCCAACATAATAGAGTTTGATCTATTTTTCAAGGATGAATAAGGTAAAATAATCTCTAGATATACAAAACTGGTAACGGGAGGACAAGGATCAGAACTCAAGTCTTTCAACTTTGTCGGAGAAGTAAAGTTTTGCTGAATTCGTCGTAGCGATTCATCTCTTGTGGTTCTTTGTAAATACTCTACAACAAAAAAATATAAATATAGCATCTATTTGTTCTGTCAGCCATGGAATGCAATGCTGTTGTTATCCAGGTGTGAGGCTGTGGAAGCATTTCTCAGTCACAGCACAAACGCTCATCTTAGCCCTTCCTCCCTCCTCCTTCCCTCCCTCCTCCTTCTTCTCATTTTAAACACCGGGGGGCAAACCACAAGATCCGCAATCCTGGAAAGGTAATGACAGATTTTGTAGAATCCTCAACAATGGTGGATGCAAAATTAACCACAATGCCTAACATTATATGTAGCACTGCTGAAAACATTACCTTGCTTCTTTTCTTCCATAGGTATATAACATATAGTCTACATAATTTGAACTCCCATGTTCATGAAATTGGACCCACTTCACTAAATGTGTTTAAATTAAATTCATTAATGCTTTGATATAAAAGTTTGAAGAAAAAAAAAAAGAACAGTAGCCACGATCATTTTACATGAGAATGAGAAACAGTTCTTATAATAAAGAGCTGGAAATAGAAACAAACATTTAACATTTTATAATTAGAGCATCCTACCCCAAACTCTGCTTACTGAACAAGAAGATTTGTTTAGTCAAGGAGTTCTTTGCATTTATATTTCAACAGCTGAAGCATTGCTGTGCTCGTAATTAACTATACAAATTAATTGGTGTAGGGGGTTACATATAATGTTCTATGATATAGGGTACACCGCGAAAACAATCTAGAAATGAGTAAACATTACTTAAATCAAGTGTATTTACCCTTAATTTGAGTTAAATTTGAGTTAAGTTAAATAGAATGATTTGCCAATGGAATTAGTATTTTTACAATAAGATAATTAGACAATATGCACTAGAAATAAGACAATGCATTTTTTTTTTTTTATGTAAATTGTATTGTTCCATTGGCAAAGTGTCTCTCTCACCTCCTCCATTCAAGAAAAAATTCACTTATTTTTAGAAAAAAGACTTATTTAGATTTCTTTTTTTTGTGAGACAAAAAAAGCAAAAATATTAAGGTAGATGTTAAATTGACCTCCATGACAGTCTATTAAGCTATTTTAATATTGGTTATGGTGTATTGCTTGGCCAGTGATTCAGCTCTGTCAGAAAACTATTGCAAAACACATAAGTACTCTTAGCTTTATGGAGATTCAATAAATCACTGCCGGTTATTATGCACACCTTAACATTGAGGTAACTCATTTACAAACTTGACAGCATAACACTGAAAAAGAGAGGACACAAACACATAAATAGATCCGTCTATTTTAATTTTATAAATATTTTTTGGCAATGTGTGACTTATTTTTGGCTTCAGCGCCTGCCACCTAAAATGCTTCTGGCCATTATGATGAGCAAAAGGTTCAGTTTGAACACAACAGGACTTATAGTTTTTTTTGTGTGTATTTATTCTTGCTCTGATTTTTACATTATAATACTGGTAACAAACTTTGGACTCATCCGCTGGGACTTTCTGGACTTTCTTTTGTATTTTCCCCCTTCAGCCTGATGCTGTCCCTCATCATTTATTTAACATTTTACACAGTAAAGGCTGCACCTCAGTTTGTCTTTGATGAACTCTTGGCAGGATCTTCGGTGTGAACAATTGACCAATATTATTTCAAAGTTACACCTGATTAACAAATAACCCTCACTGATGAATGATGTCATGTTTGACAGATCCTCTGTTTTAAGATAAATTAAATATTTGTCTAACTGAAAACACTACTTTAGCCAAATGCTTAAAAGAGGCACCCAAATGTTAAAAAAAACAACCCAAAGCTGTTTTGTTTCAGCCCAACATGTTAAAAAGAAAACAAAAAAGAACATGTATTGGGAAAACTAACGAGTCTGGTTCTATGAGATTCTGCAAAGCATTCACTAATGAGGGCTATATTAGATACGATTTCACATTGTAGAATAAATAAATAAGAAAGCATGCATGAGTTCACTCTAAGTTCTCATTTGTGTTGGTCTCTGTTTGTGGTTTTAATGTTGAAATATAGTTGAAAAATTCAGGGGATTTTGATATTGTCTTAAGGCCCTGTATAGATCATATTGATACAAAAAAAAAAGAAATAAATTTAGAAAACATCATTCTTCCTTGTTCATCTCAAAAGCACTTCCCTCCAGCTTGCATCTTGATATATTTGTTAAGATTACTAATACTTTTTTTTTTATGGCTGCTTCTAAGTTATATATCGTTATCTATATATACTAGAATTATTCATGAATTTCCCTTGCATTGAAGATCAGTAATTATTTCACTATTGCATGATGACAGTGTGCTGTGGTGTGATGTGTTTCTCCAGGTGGATCTGCAGCAAAACCCATGGGAGTGCAACTGTGAAGCAGCTCCGCTGAAGCGTTGGCTCGAGGGGCTCAGTACGGTGATTTTTATGGGGGAGGCGGTCTGTCACTCGCCTGAGAAGACCAAAGGCGTAGACCTACGCTCCCTCTCCATGGAGCTACTATGTCCTGAGCTGGAGCCCCAGGAGGAACGGGAGCAAGAGGAGCAGACAGCAAACTCCACAGATGCGGGAGGAGGTGCATCGGTTGGCTACCCTACCCCCGGGCTGGGACCCCTCAGCCCTCCATGGATAGATTCAATCCCTTTGTCAGTGTTGGTGCTCAGCCTGCTGGTGCTGTTTGTCTCTGCCTTCTTTGCAGCAGCAGCACTAATCGCCTACGCCCTGAGGATTAGGGAAAAGCTGCCGTTCCGTCGCCAGGGAGAGGTAGATTTGGCTGGTATCCAGATGGAGTGTGGAATCTTCACCGAGCAGACACATCACCACCACCACCTTCACCATGGCCTCCCAGAAAAGCCCCCTTTACCTCTGCCGGAACACAACCATGTCTATGACACCATCTTGCCCCGAGAGGCTGCGGCTAAAGGAGTCGACCCTGCTGCTGCCTCGCACATGTGTAGCAACCCGCTGTTCAAAGACCAACAGGATGCAGAGGTGAACCATCAAATTCAGCAGCAGCAACAGACATTTCCATCTTCAACAGACTGCAAAGGGGGATACTGCCCCACACCAGAGAAGGAGAAGGACTGGGCCCTAGAGGTGTCCTCATCCCCCATTAACACCATCACAGGAGCAATGGGAGCGCTCGCCGGACTCCACGGGAACGGCATTTTGTGTCCCACAGTCATCGACAGCCAAGGCCCCACTCCTAAGGTGGAGCTCGTAGACTGCCTCTTCCGACTCCCAACCCCTGAATTCAGAGATCTGCCTGACAGGTACGGGAGGCCTCCACCCCGTTACCCCCACACCCAAGACTCCAAGCAAGAAGTGAGACCTGAGCAAACGCTTGTGGTCACCACTCCCGGCTCCTCAGCAGGAGGTGGCCACGGCAGCCAGAGTGAGCAGGGAGATGGAGAGCAGAGACCCAGACTGAGGACAACGCCAGACTACATGGAGGTTCTGGACCGCTCTTATCAGTTTTAAAACTCCTCCTCCCTTTAACACTCTCCTTCCAAATACCATTTTTCTCTAGTCTCCTCGTCATCTCTCTATCTTTCTGCTGATGAATCACCCAGTAACCCTGACTCTTGTACAGAGGTCGGTTTTCAGAGAAGCCTGTGGGAGAGTTGGATACACTACAAACCATGTTTATTCCTGGACTTGAGATCCGTTTTTGTATTTTTCACCAGTACTGGCACATAGGTTAGTATTTGGCAAGGATTAGCTGAACCAGGATCTCTGCCTGGGGGCCACACTTCAGCTGCATACAACAGCATTTTATTTTTTTCTCCACAATCATACTAAACATGTAACGGCTCAGTTTCTCCACCAAAATGCCACAATTAGCAGAATGCAGCACGGCTGTAGGCGCTGACGTTCACTTTATCACTCTCGAAGGACCTGTACGGATAAAAAACAAAAAAACAAAAATGTGTTTAACAACATCAAACACAAGAGTCGTGAACCAGGACAGCCTAAAGGCGTGGAGCGAGTTGGGTTTGCACGTGGAGATAGAGAAATGGCCAAGAAAACCCAAGAAGAATGAAAATAGCCAAGTGCCTTAGCAATGAACAGCCAGCAGTATGGTCGATGCTTATTTTTCTATAAATACAGATCTATTTATCTAAACAAAGAGGTTTGACTAACAATGGGCGGGACGCTGATGGACAACTGAGACTAACTGAAAACCTGAAGAGTAATTGCATTCCCTGGATGAGCCAAAAATAAGTCCCTACCCAGTCAATATTGGAGTCGTTTGTTTGCAGTTCTGTTCATTTTCTTCATCTCATTCAGTTAAACTTAGTTTGCTTATCTGGAATTCCTTACAGGGCTATGATGGCAACTAATTTGGAATTGTCTTCTGCAGAGTGAAATTTTGGATGTGGAGGACCTTATTATTGTTATTATCATTTTAATGGAAAACAAATCCAAGGAAGGCAGAACCACAGAAGGACATTGAGCCAATGGATGCATTTTGGATTTCTTTATCTGTCAGACTTAACGGGGCCACAAGGACCTCTGTATCATGTTTTATTTCATCCGACTAAGGCGCAGAGGTTATTGTATTGTTTTGTTTCTTTAAAGTATTTCTCAGAGGAAAAATTGAACAACAAAGACAAAGGACAAAAAAAAACGAGGGGTGTGCTGAGACATTTTTTTTTTTTGCGGTTACAAAAAAAAGACACTTCTATCAACTACTGGTTAATATCTTTTATGGAGATACTTTTTATGCTTTCAGTCTCCAAACAATAGTAGAGGCAGTTGTGAATATATTTATTCTTAGTTTTTGCGTGTTGAAGCTCTCCTGCAAGGGATCATGTTATATTAATGTATAGGATGATTCTGCATCTGGTTCAGCCTTCTTACCGTCGACCCACCAAGTACAATAAAGGGTGCTACATAAAAAAAGACTCTCCCTGACAAGTTTTATGTTACAGATTCATACACACTTCTCACATAAACTGACCCATATAGTACTGTAGGCACTCACTCTCTCCATCTCCTTTGCCTTAAAGGGATAGTACACCATTTTGGTGTAGGTTAAAAGGATTTTCTATGTGTTTTGTGTTTTTTTATGCATTACTTGCTAATTGCTAAATGAACCAGTGGTGTATTTTTCGGATTTTTATATGTTCAAACACTAAATTGCTTACACAATGCTTTGGGTTTCACTAGTTTAAAGATACATGACATTTGGTAAGTGCTACTGCCAGATTTTCTGGCATTTAACTCCAGGCTGTTTGGTGAATCCTATTTTGTTAAATTTCTACAGAAGATGTATATTCTTGATCTTGTTATATTCTTGATTAGAAACTTTTAAAATCTGACTTGCGATGCAAAGAGACAGATCCATACTTTCACAATAGTTTGTCCTGGATGGTGAAGTTAATGGCTAGTGTAAGCAGAGCAAAGACTAAAGTGAAATTCTACTATCGTAAAATAACACCAGTCTCCACAAGCATCATTGTAGTGTATATGACTGCTTATTTATACAGTCATGTATGTCATTTGCAATTCATTACACTTCATTGCAAAAAAGTAACTTGTGATAAAATCTATAAAATAGTGTTCCCTTTAACCTCTATAATTATTTTCTCTTTATAATAATTTAACTTGAGCAAAAGTGCCTTAGATGTCCTGAGAGTCTTTATATCTGTTTGCGATAGGAAGATCACTGGTGGTGTACCGCCTTAAATGTCTTTTTCCTGTATGAATAACTTTTATCATTTCAAACAAAGTATTATGCTAATAGATAGATAACTGACTCACATGATAATGGTTGAAAGACTCAAAATATCATTTGCGAATACTACCTTGATATTTTTGAGATGGAAGTTTTTTTAAGGAAGTAGAAGTAAACAATATTTAGCTCTATGCTAAAACACATAATTTAGAAAAATGTTTGCAAATCAAAGCAAACAGTACAAGAACTTACATGCTACAAAAATACCCTATTAATAAAAGATTAAGATATCTGTCATGTTTTTAAAGCTAAAATTCCTGAAAATTCTGGTAATTGTTGTCCCTTTTTGGATTAAAACCAATGAAAAAATTGCTATCTGAAACCTGAGTAAATGTCTTTAAATTGAAAAGTTTTAGAAAAACCTCAGGAACATTTCAAAACAACACATTTTAAGAAATGTTCTGCCTTTAGTAACTAATAAAAAAGTCTTTAATAACTGTATAGTTATAGGCTGCTCCTATTTTAGGACAGTCACAATAAAACAAATTCAAATCAAAAACAAAACAAAATCTTGGAATTTGCTTGGAATATTTAGCTATAAATGTAAATATCATTGTTAATTTCTGACACAGTAATAAGAGCATTTTACATTTCTGATGGCATGTTTGCTACCATATACAACAGCTGGTTTTTGAAATATCAGCGCTTGAACTAACTAACAGAATGTTTGATGGATTTAAACAAATTTACGTATCTTCTAAAACATTAAGCTTCAAAACAATAGGCTGAGGTCAATTTATGAATTCAATTATAATTAAATATCTTAATTAAACAATAAAATATATTCATTGGATGTTTGTAATGTGTCAGTAGAAATTATTTAAACTGAGATAAAATTGGACAAAAAGAAGGCTGAGCCTTGATCTTCTTGGACTAGCTGCTAGCTCTAGCCTCCAGGACTAACTTGCCTTGATTTTTCCTAAATGAAAAAGCCAAGAGAGTGATCTACTGCTTATAACATTTTGAAGATCCTTACTGCAAGAATCCTGAACTTTTCCTTTAATAGTGCATGAATAAAGCAGCCTGGGGTCTGCTAAGCTTGTCCATGCAGGGTGTTAGAGAGATCAGATGAAAGCTGGGCAAAGGTAATGGCCTGCAGGGTTCCTCACACATTAAAGGCTGGGGAGAGAAGCTAATAGAGGCAAATCTTCCACATTAACTGTATGAAATCAATACAATCTATTTGTGAAATGAGGACATGTAAGGCTGGTGGCCTGGGGGCAGAGGTGCCACATTGCGCCATCCCTTTCTCCAGCCTGTGTGTCTCTCCCAAAGATCTCTCCTCTTCTTTCATCTCTCCGTCTGATTTGTTCCCCTCCCTATCTTTCTCCATTTCCTCGCCTCTTTATTCTGCTGCTCACCTTTGCTTTTGTTCTTTCCCCTCTCCTCTATTTCCCCTTCCCTCTCAACGCTCCGGCTGTCATCTTAGCCTCACTGGGCGGACATAGAGAGATTCTGCTCTATATGCAGCTCAGCGCACAGGTAGCTCCCACTGAAAATATATATGTGTGTGTGTGTTTCTCTCTTGGGCCATGAGCATCGTTCTTCAGATGCCTCCTCACTCTCAGCGTTCAGAACTCTGTTGCACAAATAACACACACTAGGGACTCTGGGTGTGTTTGTGCTTTGAAGGGGGGGGGGGGGGGGGGTTCTTTGTAGGTGTGGGTGTGTGTGCTTAAGGAAAGTGTGTGAAGTTTCTGCAGTCTTCTGTTTTTTTGTGAGCAAAGCCTCAGTCCAGCCTTAATCCTTTAAACTGTGTAGTTTACTCATTGCACATCAGCCCCATTGTGTCCTCAGACAAAAGAAGTGCAGTTAAAACTAAATGCCAGTTAAAGTAACAAACGGCTAATTAAAGCACCGTTCTCTATCCTTTTCACACTTTTTTTTCCTCCTCTCACGTTTAAAGTTTTCCTTCTCACTTCCTCGCCTGTGGCATCTCATTTTTTACACTACTGTTCTGCTCTGGACTGGCTCCAGCGAGGTGAATGTTTTCTTTGCACGCTTTATTTTTTTTTTCGTATTTGTATTATGCATGTGTGTTTTCCCTGTCTTACAGCTTTGCCATGATTCATGTGTTTGGGTCCTGTCAGAACTGTCCCATCACTATGTAGAAAAAAAAATTATACATTTCCCACAGTCAAGGATGAAAGAGTCTTTAGACTTCAAACGCCTGTGGGCCTCTGCGGCTTAGATTGCCTCTTGCTCTTTCTCCATCGTGTCATTTATTCCTAAGAAATAAATAAAATAATGAGGCTGGGGCGTCAGTTAAGTAGAGATGGCAGAGACGTGTTGAGGAGCGGGACAATTAGCCTGATTAAAACAATGCCATTTCTTGTGATAGATTTTGCCGGAGCAGCAATAGGCGGATCCCTCATGAGTGTTTATGTGAAGGCATAAAAACCATATTCTTCTCTGCATAAACATGCCGTGTATTAAAAATGCACAGTTGGGCATGGTTTGATGTGAGTGAAAAGAGATCTGTTTAAAAGTCATGGTGCATAGCTTGCAGAGGCTTTGGTGTTCGGCCATGATAAATAGTTACGGCTGAGCCGGTCATCCTTCACAAACACACACAGAGGGACACGCGTAAACGGCGTTAACGCCACTGCAAATGTGCACACTCTCCTCCATTTGCAAACACAAAGTTCGAGAGCAAACAAAGTACAGTTAAATATGTACATAAACTGTCCACACAGGCATGCAGAGTCCGCTGCTGTGCAATGTTGCTCTGCATTGCAGTGATCTGCCCCACTCTTTCTCTGCTTTCGCCCAAAGAGAATCGCCGGCTCTCAATAGACTACATCAGCATGGGGAATACTTAGCAGGAGAGCGAGAGACTTGAAGTGCATTGAGCAAGAGACAGCAGGAAGAGCATGATGAGAAGGTACAGGGAGGGAGAGAGGGACTAAAGAGGACAGAGGGAGATTTAAGAGAGGATGGGAGGAGATGAAAAGAAGGTGTGAGAGATCAGCAAGCAGGTGATTCCAGGCTTAAGGCTGCTGGAGGACTTTGTTCATTCAAGGGGTCTAGGAGTGTGTGAATGGAGTAAGATTCTGTATATTTGTCTCTGTTCTCAGACACGCAATGTCAACCCGCATGATCTTTGCCAAGGCTTGGAGCTCAGCTCCACGTCTGCCAAACGGTTACAGTTAAAAGATGGAGATTTGGTTGCCTGCAGAGCAGCATGACAATACTTATTTACGGAGCGCAGAGGCAAAATGGCAGATTACTTGGCGTGTTGGTTAGGTGTTATTATAGTAAGCTGATATGTGCCTGTTACTATGTCAGTCTGCTGCTGCAGTAAGCTGGTGAAAAGACACTAAGATGGCAGGAACCAGTCTGGTTGAGACTGAAAAACGTCAAATGAGCTTTACATGCACAGTGCTTAGGTGTCTGCTATGTGTTCAGTGCACATGTCTCTATGGGTTTTAAGGTTGGAGCGTGTTATGGACAGGAAAGCATGATGATTATTCTCTGCAGCTAGCATTTTAATCCAATGATTTTTGAGATTCATCTTTCCAAATTCAGAAAATACTTGCACCAATAAAACCCCTGATATGCGAGTCAGACAATGCTTAGGGAAGCCCTAAGGGAGAAGTTTTATGGAACTGAGTCCAGTATTAGTTCTCTGCTATACAAAACATGTCTGTTAGACAAAAAAGTTTAAAGTAGTCTTATTTGGCAAGAACACCTATTTCATTCTGCTTCCTTTCTCTGCTATGGCATTTGGTGTAAATTTTTATTTAGCTCTCTAGAATCAGAACATGGTAAAACTACGTTTTGTTGCCACAAATCTTTTGGGGTATATCTCTGATAGCGTTGCACAACTTTTGTTTCTCTGGGAGAAATCCACATCAACACAGCCAGATTTGTCCGAGAGTGTCTGAGCAAAGCTTTTTGTTAATTTTGCCAAATCCTCTCAATTAGGTGTTGGGCTGAGCTATGACTGGGCTGGGAAATTCATATGCTTTGATCTTAACCATGGCATCTCTGGCTGTAAGTTTAGGATTGTTGCACTCGCCCTCACAGGTCTTTTGAAGCTTTTAAAAATGTGTCATCTCCAACCATTTTTCAACCAAGTTTGACTACCGTAACTTCCCAGTATCTGTTGCAGAAAAAAAATGCCCCAAGCGCGATCCTTCCACTGCCATGTTTCACTGTGTGG